CTCCCCCCCACCCACACACCTCCACCCACCTCCCCCCCACACACACCCACCTCCCCCCCACACACATACCCACCTCCCCCCCCACACACACACACCCACACCCCCCCCCACGAACACACACACACACACACCTCCTCTCCCCCCCCCACACACACCCCCCCTCTCTCCCCCCCACCCCCCCACCCCCACCCCCCCCACCCCCCTCACTGCGACAATATAGTCCATTCTGGGTGAATAAAAAGTATATGAACCTGGCCTGCCTCGTGTGATCTGCTAGCTGTTGATGGTTACCTTGAACCAAGATACAGTGTGAAGGTCGTTGAGATAACATGGAGATAAAATGTAGGTAGCCTAGTGGTTAAAGCGTTCGCTCGTCACACCGAAGACCCGGGTTCGATTCCCGACATTGGTACAATGTGTGGAGCCCATTTCTGGTGCCCCCCGCCGTGATATTGCTGGAATATTGCTAAAAGCGGCGTAAAACAATACTCACTCACAAAACCTGGACAAGATATAGTGCACGACTACTGGTAGCATATTGTTTCTTCAACGAATTGTTGCACTTGTAACACATAAACCCCTTGGCGGTTCCGGGTTAGGATTACTCCCAGGCAACATGTGCAGCACGTGAATACGGTGATTACACTACAGATTACACAATTGTTAAGGCCAATAGGCCTGCACTTCACTTGTACAAACCCTCATTAACCTTTCACTTTATCATCTAAACGAATTAAGCAGTGTACAATTGCTTGAATCCTTCAGTTAAAATATTAATGATTCAAAAGATTGCAATATCATCAATCACCTGATACGGTGGAAAAAGAGTCCTCGGCAGAAAGTTAGACCACTAATAATGTTGGTGACACTTTATTTGTACAAACTTTTTTTATGGAAATAAGGGGTAAAGCAACGTCCTTGAAACATGTATTAACATTTCATTCATAAACATAAAATATAAGTAATTAGATATGTGACTATGAAAAATGTGAGAAAGACATACCGATTAGTTTTATCATCAAAAATCAGAAATGCCATAATCAGAATTGATACACACTTTGATTAATAACAACTGAAAAGAAATTACCGACTGTTAACATCCCTTAAAACAGCAGCAAAAAGTATGAAACATTGCATATACATTTACAAGTGGAACTGACAAAGAAGACATACACACAAAATACACCAATCAAAATCTGAAGAATTAGAACCAAAAGAATGATTTCAAAACTAATCTATATTAAATTCTTTAGCAATGATAAAATAAATATGGATGTATTGAAATATAATAGAAATAATACAGAATACAATCTCCAATGAACAGAGGAGAAATCACATGGATCTAATTGAGTGAGTGATTGAGTTGGGTTTTAACACAGCTTTTAACAGTATTCCAGTTATATCACGGCGTGTCAGCTTAATGTGGGAGGAAAGCCTGAAGTGATGCAGGTCTCAGACGTTTACCACTTCGGTAAAACCCACGAGCACGGGTATGGTGCTGAAAAACCTAGAAACATAATCGGGGCGAACCTGGATTCGAACCCACAATCATAGGTTTCTGGCGTGCCCAAGGGAAGCAACCCTGCCCAGCGAATCGCGGCGCCTCAGACGACTGGGGCACCCGTGCCCCCCACACGAACATAAACCAAACACACACGTTGAAGACAACAGTACATATGGCATCCTATATCACTTCCAGATAAAACAAAGATAAAATAAGAAAAATAATCAAAACACAAAATAAACCATCAATGCTACATTTAACCGATTTCGAGAATACATTTCATTACAAGTCCAGAAATGTTTTTGAAGTGAGCTATATATGAAATGAAGTCTTCATAAAATATCTTTGAATGATAAATAAGGTCAACACGTCATGTCAGAAGGCAGATCAGTGATGACTCACATTTTGACTATTCTAAAACTATTACTCAGGCCTGGCTTTGCTGACACTTACACTACGAATGTTGACACTGGTTCTGCACAGTTAAAGCACTGATATGTCTTCAAAAATATTGCAAAGCAATGCACCTATAGAAGACTACAGACACGTTGTCATTATATGTATACCACTTCACATTTAGAATAACCGAATATAATAATCTTGTTTGAAGCAATACACATAATATCACATGAAAGTTAATTTCAAATCGTTTCAAGTATATTTACATAAGCAATTTGTTACAAGAAAGAAAGAGTTTGGAAATCAGCTACACATAAAATGAGCCCTGATAAAATATCTTGAAATCAGTGATTACTCATGAAGACACAAAGATAGCAGGAAAACAGTGATAACTCTCATTTTGACTTTTCCAAAAGTAAACCTATTCAGGTCTGGTCTTTGTCTATACTATCATGTGGTCATTTCATATCTTTTCCAGTACCATAAATGTTAAACTGGTCAACGAACAACAGCAGTAATAATAACATAGCTGCCTGTCTACAAACACCCTATCTTTGCCGATAATACTCGTGTATAATTCATTCTAATACAAATGAGGACATTGTTAAATACTGATATGTCTGCAGACAGGAATCAAACGTTCACTCAAAGAGAACAAAAGTCACAAAATACTTTCTCCCAACTAACCAGCATGGTCTGCCTGTAATATCGGAAGTCAGGTGTGTGTTTGGGGCACCTGCTTCCTGTACACTCTAAAACTGCACTCGCTGAAGTGTTTGTGTGGGTATGTCATAGTCAGACGGAGTTGTAATCATATATTTTCTTGGCTAGTAAATGGTAAATACTTCTACAGTCGTACATGTATTCGGAGTTGCTAACATTGGTACCTTATTTAAAAACGTTGATTAAACTATGTCAGAATTTAAAATATATTTAATTCATAGACAGAATCAATATAATAATTGTAAATGTATCAGTGAAAACATTTTTGCAGATATTCAGGCTACATATATACATATTAAATGGCATGCAAGAAAAAATATATTTGACAAATCTTTAACACAATGATGATTTATTGTATGAAAGGCAAAAAAACGTTACTTCACTATGCTATAATAATATACAGAATATCACGTTTCAAAGATATATTGTTTTACAGTAGATTTGTGCTTGTTTATCAGTGTATACATATAGTCATATAATGATTCATAAACGTATATGTATTCATAAACCTTTAGCGATTAATAAACACATGTTTATGCTATAGTCGGAATCATACTGTGGATTAAGAGTTGTTATAGGAAGCCTGCTTTATTATATTTGTAATATCAGGAAAGGGTAATATATAAATACATTTTTAGTGAATATGGTGAAAACATATACAATGGAAACATCTTTTTACACAACACACACGCTCATTCAATTAGTGCAGGGGTACTATGACAATTGTCTTTTGCAGAAAGGTTTTTAACATCAGCATAATATTTTATCTATTAAATTCTACAAAGTTCTAGGTTAAAATATGAAATGGTGATAAGAAGGGTGATTGCACTGGGAGGAGACGTTGACCTGTGACACCAAAGCCAATTGATTCCGATTCCCTTGGTGACAAGAAATAACTACTTTTGAGTAGCTGGAAGTTACCCAGACCTGGTCTTGTAATATAAGTGCCAAAGAGCAAATGAACCGATGGAATAAATGGTTAGTCACGTACTGATTGATTTGAGTACTGATTAAGGGTCTTCTGGCTCCTTCCAGTCTGACATAGTATTTGTTCTCCATCCTATGTTCGATTAATTGCTGCAGTTAGGAAGTTAAACGGGTATTTTAGATAAGAAGTGTTGTTAGCGTGAACTGAATCTACAACTAGAGGGAATGGAAATTAGTTATTATTGAGATTAGCATTATGACTCATTCCGTAAGACGTTAAACATCATTTCGGTAGGAGGAGCTCAAATTACAATTGAGCATATTTTGTCAGTTGTCTGAGAGTGGAGCAGGGATTTGGAGACTTAACTCCTAACCAGAGAACCTCTCTCTGTATATTGGAAGTCTAGACCAGAAAAAAATGAGAGAAAACACATCTGAGGACATATTGTGTGTAATATTCAAGATTTCCATCTACAATATATGGACTTGAGTGAGCTACATCATCCCCAGAACCAAGTGGAAAGACTATGTTGCTTAGGTAGAAGGGTATCACATTCCCGACATCTACGGTCACAGTACGATGACAACCAAAGTCACCGACATAGTCATCCATGCTGACACATTGTCACAGAAGTAGATGTTTTACACAAAGTCATCGGTAGTTTACACAAAAGAATATATCTCAGGCCATGGTGACACAAAGATGGACACACTACACATTGAAACCAGTCGATCATACTTTACATGGCTTACATATAAGTCACTCACATGTCCACATCAGGCAGTCTCTGTTGTCTTCCTTTGTGACATATCAGCTCCCTCCGATACAAGAATATGTTTCACAATAGACATGTGTCCTTTTCTAAAAAGCCAGCAAGTCATTATTGTATTATTGTCAGAAAGTGACAAATCAGCCCCCCTCCGAGACAAGAAGGTAAAACACATCAATACATCCCCTCGTATTGCCATCATGGCTGGTGCCTACATTAAGGGATGTCTTTTTCTACTATGTTTTCAGGGATAGGTCATCTTTTTTCCAGACAGCACTGTCCTCTTAATCCGTGAGTCACAGGTCAGCCCCCTCTGAGACAAGACGGTTATACACATTATAATGTCCCCCTTCTGCAGCCAGCATGACTGGTGTCCGCATACCACTGCCTCCTTTTCGATTGATGTCAAATGTTTTAAGTGATAGCAGATGTTTCACAATAGACATCTTCCCTTCCTTGCATGCACACATCAGACAGTCACTGTTGTCTTCATCTGTGAGTGACAGGTCAGCCCCCTCTGATACAAGAAGGTAAAACACATCATAATGTCCCCTTCCTGCTGCCATCATGACTGGTGTCCGCATATCGCTGCCACCTTTTCGATTGATGTCAAATGTTTTGAGTGATAGCAGATGTTTCACAATAGACATGTTTCTTCCCTTGCATGCCAACATCAGTCAGTCACTGTTGCCTTCATCAGTAAGTGACAGATCAGCCCCCTCTGATACAAGAAGGTAAAACACATCATAATGTCCCTTTTTCACTGCCATCATGACTGGTGTCCGCATATCGCTGCCTCCTTTTCTATTGATGTCAATTGTTTTGAGTGATAGCAGATGTTTCACAATAGACATGTTTCCTCCCTCACATGCCAACATCAGACAGTCACTGTTGTCTTCATCAGTAAGTAACAGGTCAGCCCCCTCTGAGACAAGAAGGTTATACACATCATAATGTCCCCTTCCTGCTGCCATCATGACTGGTGTCTGCATGAAGAAGCCTCCTTTTCGATTGATGTCAAATATTTTGAGTGATAAGGGATGTTTCACAATAGACATGTTTCTTGCCTTGCATGCCAACATCAGACAGTCACTGTTGCCTTCATCAGTAAGTGACAGGTCAGCCCCCTCTGAGACAAGAATGTCTAACACATCATAATGTCTCCTTGCTGCTGCCATCATGACTGGTGTCTGCATGTAAATGCCTCCTATTCGATTGATGTCAAATGTTTTGAGTGATAGGAGATGTTTCACAATAGACATGTTTCCTCCCTCACATGCCAACATCAGACAGTCACTGTTGTCTTCATCAGTAAGTGACAGGTCAGCCCCCTCTGAGACAAGAAGGTTATACACATCATAATGTCCCCTTCCTGCTGCCATCATGACTGGTGTCTTCATGAAGAAGCCTCCTTTTCGATTGATGTCAAATATTTTGAGTGATAGGAGATGTTTCACAATAGACATGTTTCCTCCCAAGCATGCCAACATCAGACAGTCACTGTTGTATTTGTCAGTAAGTGAAAGGTCAGCCCCCTCTGATACAAAAAGGTTATACACATCATAATGTCCCCTTTCTGCTGCCATCATGACTGGTGTCTGCATGAAGAAGCCTCCTTTTCGATTGATGTCAAATGTTTTGAGTGATAGGAGATGTTTCACAATAGACATGTTTCCTCCCTTGCATGCCAACATGAGGCAGTCAAAGTTGTATTCATCAGTAAGTGACAGTTCAGCCCCCTCTGAGACAAGAAGGTTATACACATCATAATGTCCCCTTTCTGCTGCGACCATGACTGGTGTCTGCATATCACTGCCTCCTTTTCGATTGATGTCAAATGTTTTGAGTGATAGCAGATGTTTCACAATAGACATGTTTCTTCCCTTGCATGCCAACATCAGTCAGTCACTGTTGCCTTCATCAGTAAGTGACAGGTCAGCCCCCTCTGATACAAGAAGGTAAAACACATCATAATGTCCCTTTTTCACTGCCATCATGACTGGTGTCCGCATATCGCTGCCTCCTTTTCTATTGATGTCAAATGTTTTGAGTGATAGCAGATGTTTCACAATAGACATGTTTCCTCCCAAGGATGCCCACATCAGACAGTCACTGTTGCCTTCATCAGTAAGTGACAGGTCAGCCCCCTCTGATACAAGAAGGTTATACACATCATAATGTCCCCTTCCTGCTGCCATCATGACTGGTGTCTGCATGTCACTGCCTCCTATTCGATTGATGTCAAATGTTTTGAGTGATAGGAGATGTTTCACAATAGACATGTTTCCTCCCAAGCATGCCAACATCAGACAGTCACTGTTGTCTTCATCAGTAAGTGACAGGTCAGCCCCCTCTGAGACAAGAAAGTTATACACATCATAATGTCCCCTTCCTGCTGCCATCATGACTGGTGTCTGCATGAAGAAGCCTCCTTTTCGATTGATGTCAAATATTTTGAGTGATAGGAGATGTTTGACAATAGACATGTTTCTTGCCTTGCATGCCAACATCAGACAGTCACTGTTGCCTTCATCAGTAAGTGACAGGTCAGCCCCCTCTGATACAAGAAGGTTATACACATCATAATGTCCCCTTCCTGCTGCCATCATGACTGGTGTCTGCATGTAAATGCCTCCTATTCGACTGATGTCAAATGTTTTGAGTGATAGGAGATGTTTCACAATAGACATGTTTCCTCCCTCACATGCCAACATCAGACAGTCACTGTTGTCTTCATCAGTAAGTGACAGGTCAGCCCCCTCTGAGACAAGAAAGTTATACACATCATAATGTCCCCTTCCTGCTGCCATCATGACTGGTGTCTTCATGAAGAAGCCTCCTTTTCTATTGATGTCAAATATTTTGAGTGATAGGAGATGTTTCACAATAGACATGTTTCCTTCCTCACATGCCAACATCAGACAGTCACTGTTCTCTTTATCAGTAAGTGACAGGTCAGCCCCCTCTGATACAAGAAGGTTATACACATCATAATGTTCCTTTCCCACTGCCAACATGACTGGTGTCTGCATGTTACTGCCTCCTTTTCGATTGATGTCAAATGTTTTGAGTGATAGGAGATGTTTCACAATAGACATGTTTCCTCCCTGACATGCCAACATGAGGCAGTCAAAGTTGTATTTGTCAGTAAGTGACAGGTCAGCCCCCTCTGAGACAAGAAGTTTATACATATCATAATGTCCCCTTCCTGCTGCCATCATGACTGGTGTCTTGAACTTTCTACTTTTACAGTTGATATTAAATCTTTTCAATGACATCAAATATTTGACTGTAGATACAGATCCACTTACACATGCTAAATGGAGACAACAACTGCCATAGTTGTCGGTGATACAAATATCTGCCCCTCCCTTCACAAGGAGTTTTAAATCTTCATCTTCTCCTGACGAAATGCACAACATGGCTGGTGTACATCCGTCGTAGCCAGGCACATTTATCATACCTGGAACACGCTCTGCAATAACCCTGGTGATGTCTGTGCTTCCTGATTTACAAGAATGATGAAGACAGGTATAGCCTTTACTGTCAGCTAGTGTGATATCTGCTCCTTCCTCTAACAGGAATTGGAACACATCCAAATGGCCTGATTCTGCAGCAATCATGTGGAGGGATTTGTCTCCCTTTGTCATGTTCACATCAAACGCCTCACCAGCGTTGAGCACTGTTATGATCTGTTTGAGATAACTGATCCTACCATGTTGCACACAGGCCACTATGCCAGAATGGAGATCAGTTATGGACCTATGTGAAAGTGCCATACCAATTTCCTTTTTTCCAAGCATTTCTAGTGATTGTTCAAACAGAGCAGGATTATCTGACTGTGACACCCAATAAAAGAAACACTCCCCAAACACTTTATCTTCCTGTTGAATTATCTGTGGCAAGTTATCAGAGAGATTGTTTGGAAAAGAACTGGATATGTCATTATTGAAAATAGGGTGTTTCAACGTCCACTTGAAATATCCTTGTCGGATACCTTCCACCAGCCTCGTCAACACGAAGGGGTACAGACCAGGACTGAGGTGGATCAGGTTTGTGACATCATCAGTGAATCCTAGTTGTTGCTTGCCTCTCTTTTCCTGTTTTACTTTTTCATATAGAAATTTCAATGAGCAATGTTTCAGCAACAAAATCGGATTGTAGTTTCCAAAGGCACAAGCTGTTGCATCATAAATGGATGGATGTGAGAAGAAAGCCATGTTTTTCTCCACTGTACAGTAGGTTCCAGTTAAATTGCCGATCTCCTTACCAATCCCTGTAGGAGTGCAAGATGGAACCACTTTCTCCACAACTTGAAACATATCTGTTTCTCCTTCACCAAGCTGGAACGAAACAAGGTCCAGTTTCCCATCACACAGAAGGAGAAGAATAAGAGCTGCAGACCTGCTGCTGCATTCACGGACAATAGTGTCGAGGTGGCCTCTCAAATATGTCACGGGATTCTGGAAAAAGTCTTGAGGCGATAGCACATGGAAGTCTGGGTTAGATGTGTATAGGCTACAGATCAGAGGATATCCAAACATTTTGGTCTGTAAATGAGCGATAGTCTTCACATCTTCCTCCGAGATGTCACACATTGGGTATCTTCGCATGTGGGACCTGAGAATAGTCTCCTTTTCGTCATCTGTGAGACATTTCTTACTTAAATCAATGACACGATGCAGGTTAAAAAGGTTGACTTTGAACTGATGGAGTCTTGCACGTCCCTCATTCCAGTTGTAGGTTCGGGATGTGAAAAGGAAGCGGAGTTTGAATGTCTGTTGTGATTCCTTCTCACTTGGCTGTGATTTATCCTGGTCTGGTTCCGCTTGTCTCCTACCCTGGTTGGATCTGGTCTTACATTCCTTCTCCAGAATGTCAATTTGTAAAGCTTCTTCCAAGGCACTGAACACTTTCTGTGTGTTTTCTAAATTAGATGGAAATGTAACGGAGCCGAAAATGTCATCAAAGACAATTAACATGTGATTGTGCCGTTTGATGATCACATTCACATCAAACTGTTCAATATGTTCTATGAACAATATCTCATAATGTTTCTTGAGATATTTCTTACAGAGCATCAGTGCAATGCTAGTTTTCCCGTCTCCTGGGGCTCCACAGATAGCAGCATGGCCACACCTTTCCAGAAGATCCTCTGCTGTCACTAGTTGGTGGATTTGGACAAAAGTCTTTTTCAGATTGTCTATTCTTGTGATGACACTTTCTGAAGAAGAAGAAAACATGATCCATATTAACAATGACACTTTTCTCCTCTCATTTTGGATTTATTCGCACGTTGAACAAGAGTCAGACATTATCATCCCAGTCTGGGGCAATTCGGAGATGGAATTTGACTACCTACACCCCACTTTTTGTTCATTGCCATGGATACCTTCACTTCAGTGAAGGCAAAATGATGCTGTTTGAAGCCAAGTGGACGCAAATGACCGACATCAGATCCGTACAGAGTGGAGGGGTGTCGGATTGCAGCTTTATGCTTGGTCGATGTTTTAATTAGTTGGGGGAAACACTTAAACAGCGAGAACAGTAAACAAATAGAGAGCTGCTTTCTGACTGTGAAATGCCATGCCTAAGGGTTAAAACTTACGGTTTCCTACTGTAAAAGGCTGTGTCTGAGGGTTCAAAGTTACAGTTTCCTACTGTAAAAGGCTGTGTCTGAGGGTTCAAAGTTACAGTTTCCTACTGTAAAAGGCCGTGTCTGAGGGTTCAAAGTTACAGTTTCCTACTGTAAAAGGCCATGTCTGAGGGTTCAAAGTTACGGTTTCCTACTGTAAAAGGCCGTGTCTGAGGGTTCAAAGTTACAGTTTCCTACTGTAAAAGGCTGTGTCTAAGGGTTCAAACTTTCGGTTTCCTACTGTGAAAAGCCTTGTCTAATGGGTCAAAGTTAAGATTTGATGGTATGAGATATTCTTGCCTTGTGTGAGGCATCCCCGATGTCCCTTGTCCCAAAGGGAAACATGTCCCTTCTCCCCAAGGCCAACATTAGAGGCGTTAGAGATGTTGGTCTGTGACACGGGGCACTGATCTGGAACAATGAGAAAGCATTACTAGAAACCTTTAGTCTTACATAAAATGAGATCAACGCTGATTATATACTTGTACTTTCTTTAAGAACTATTGGAAGAACTTTAATTGGCAACTCATGAGTTAGTGAATGAGTTAAGGTTGATCATCACATTGGCAATGTTTCAGCCATATTTGGCAACATATGAAGTAAAGTAAGATATTCAAATGTAACTCACAATAAAAATGTTGTGTTGTAGATGTGGATGTGGGTTGTCTCCCCTGTTCCAGCTCTCTATGTTCTTCATCTCTGATCTCAGCAGGAATCTGGCGATCATCGGCATCTGGAACAATTAGAAAGCATTACTTGAAACCTTTAGTCTTACATAAAATGAGATCGATCAACGCTGGTTATATACTAGTACTTTCTTTAAGAACTATTGGAAGAACTTTGATTGGCAACTCATGAGTTAAAGTACTCATGGAAATGAAAAAAACCTGTTTTTTCGATCACAGATTTTAAATTATTGCAGTTAATATACAAAATATGTAAATATTCAAACAACTAAATTAGTACTAATTGGGCTGTGGCACAAATACAGCGTATCAAATGTTTTATGCCTTTTTACACATAAACGTGTGTAAAAATGTGGATAAAACAGACTATTGTGAAACAGGGCATAACCAGGTGTAAGTAGATCAAGGTGACCTATGACACCTTGACGACAGGTAAGAACAGGTGCATAATGCCTATAGTTTGTTTCTGCTATGGCAATTTGGACTTAGTTTTATTTTTGAATGTTGAAATTGCCGACAAATTACCTCCTGTAAAGTACATTTTGTATTGTTCACTGAGATCAAACTAGCAAATCCAGACTAGTACTTTTCGAGTTGTTTTGTTATTTCGTATTTACAGCTACGTAACACTTTGTGTCAATTTTTAAATTGAGAAAAACAGGTTGTTTTCATTTCCTTTTAGTACTTTAGTGAATGAGTTAAGGTTGATCGTCACATCGGCAATGTTTCAGCCATATTGGGCGACACATGAAGTAAAGTAAGATATTCAAATGTAACTCACAATAAACATGTTGTGTTGTAGATGTGGATGTGGGTTGCCTCCCCTGTTCCAGCTCTCTATGTACTTCATCTCTGATCTCAGCAGGCATCTGGCGATTATCGGCTTCATCAGGGTTGCAGCACCAAAGGTTTCCCATGGTTCTCGCTGACGACCGTCAAGGGGACATAACTCTGATACGATGATCACTGAAGGTAATATATGAATGTACGGCTTTATCAGTTGTATCAGAACTTTCACACCTTGTATCGAACTTCGTCAAGACACAATTAATTAACAGCTCGAAATTTACAGAACATTTATTAAAAGGATGACACACACAATCTTGTTAATTCCACCCAGTGATTTCAAAGACAATGAAGGATAGGATTCGGATAGAATTTTTTTGTTGGAAAATATGCAACAAAGAATATGTGACAAAGAATGACTGTACATTGGTGAGGCGAGTATGACGGAGTAATATTCATTACTAATCTCACGGACCGTCGTCACATTGCTTGAATATTGCTGAGTGTGGCGTTAAACAAAAAATATACAAATAAAACTAATCCTACTTCAAACTGTAATGGGTGTAATAACAAGCGTCATCAGCAGAAGACAAATTCCTGCATCCCCGAGTTCGGAAAAAACCCAAATCAAATGATTGTTACTTAAAGTCATACTTCATGAGAGAATTTCTTACTAATTTGTCTTTCCGTATACCAATTTCCGTATATTAATTTTAAAAAATTTAAATTCCGAAACAGCAAAAGGCACCACTTTTGCCCTTGAGTTAATACACATACCAAGCTTGGATGAAAACTGTTTTTCAGTTCTGCTCCGACAACGACACCTACGTCCGTTTCAGCTAAGTCAAACAGGATAAAATCTAATTTTGAATCCCTAATTTGGAAAAGGCATCAGTTGACAACCTGGTCATTGTGTGTGCAAATTGTCTTGAAAGAATACCTTTTGTTTTAGAGATATGGTGCGAACAAACACACAACTATAAACACTATGAACACTAAGACTATGAGTCAATGTCAAACCTCTTGCCATGGAAACAGGAACACATATATAAAATTAGAATTCCTTAATACAAAAAGGCACCACTTCACTGATTAATACATGTACCAAGTTTGGATAAAAAATGTTAAATAGTATTTTAGTTCTGCCCTGGATACGAGTCTAAATTATTTCCAAGAAAAATAGGAAAAATCAAATTGTGAAAAAATTTAAAAAGCAAAAGGCACCTTTACAGCCCTTGATTAATACATGTACCAGGTTTGGATGAAATGTCTTTCAACTCTTGAACAGGAAAACACACCAACAATTGGTGAAACGATCCTCATATGCTGGGAATGTGTTTCCATGTATGACATCTTTACATGAACGGCCGGATAGGTGTAAAGAAAGAAGCGATACAGCGTACAACTTATAATGTATCCTGAAGGGGGCTCCAGTCTCTACAAGACAGGACACAATACTATCTTTATATTATCACAGACAACAGCATGTGACTGCTCGACATCTCTTTTGACGCTTCGTCAAGGCTATCAATCACAACCATGGAAAAAAAACTCAAGGAAGAGATGAGAGAAATAAAGGTTCGGGACACTGTGCACAACAGTCATGACTTGCGGCAAGTTCATTTTCTAAGACCGAAGTATCTACATACAAGAGAATCAACCCTCCAATCGGGAAATCGGACTTGGAAACCTTAACAATGAAAAAACAATAAACACTGATCTATTTAGTATATTCACGAGCACAAGTAAAAGAGTGGGTACACATGTAGGTTATGAGCCATGGACCGCTGCTGCGTCAGTACCGGAGGACCAAACTGCTTTAAGGCCTGGACGTCGTGGAGATAGTGGGAGGCGGAGACCTTGTCTGACTTCCAAAAGCACCCTTCCAGGATGGCGGAAAGGGTGCAATCGATGTGTAAGGCCATGGTGGAGGTGACAGCTCGAGTTTTTTCGGGGACAGCCGAGGTAGACTTGCAGCTGCTAAAGGAAAGATGGAGCGTTCTAGCTGGACATAAGGAGAGGTAATCCTTGCACAAGATAGAGGTGAGTGATGGGATTTTGAAACGCTGATCAAGGCTGTCCCGGAAGGTGGTTCTTTGCAAAATATTCCAGCAAAGGCCCAGAAAAACCTTCCTGTTCAAGGACCGTTCAAACTGTACCAAGTTGACATCCAGAGAGTGGATCTCACTAATACGTGCTGCAGTCACAAGGGCTAGTAAAAAACGGTTTTGAAAGTGTTTAACAAGAAAACTATATCAGCAAGCTATTCGTAGTTAGCCAAAGGTAAATGGCGATTATTAAAGATCCCAAGCAGGAGACTCAAATCGGGATAACTTGTCCACCAATTAGTAGGACCGATTGAGAGACTGACATTTAGCAATGGTAGAATCGCTGGATCCCGTGGTAGTGGCAATGACAGTTGATAGCAGTGATATACATAGCCAGAGTAGATTCCCTGAGCTTCCACGTATATCAGAGGTGTTGAAGATAATCAGCGATATGTTGTGGTGAAGCAGCAGTGGGAGAGGAAATGTCATGAGCCCGCCAATAAGACTGATAAAACGTATTCGTAAAGGCGTTTGGTTGAGTGGTGAGCCTCGGAAATGGGATAGCCTTTTGTGACATGAGATTTCTGCAAATGTGTCAAACGCGATGGGACCGCCTCTGCGGTCTAGTGGTAGAGCATTCGCCTGGACAACGGAAAGTCCAGGGATCGATCCCCAGCCGTGTCATACCAAAAGACATTACAAGATTGTACTTGTTTTTACCCTGTCTGGCGCTCTGCATTAAGGGGCGAAAACAAGGACTGGACGGCTCGTAGTCAGTATACGTGCATGCACGTCGCTATATAAGTGCAATAATCTTGGATGTAACGTTAAACCCAATTTCACCCCACCTCACCTCAAACGCAATGGCGCAATTGGGAGTAATGCTGACGAAGAGAACATCTCGAACTGAAAGACATTGGGAACCAATTGCACGTTGAACAAACGGACGCGACCAAAAGCAGAGAGAGGTGATTGGTGGCCTCCACCTTTTGAAGGACCCTAGGAAGAATGTCGGTTGAGGTCCTACCAGGAGACCCTCAGGGCATCGTGGTCTCAAGCCATAGGATTGGGGATTGGAGACAATAACTGGGAGAGCTAAACATTGAATCTACTTGCAAACAGATCAACTCTTAGACGTTCAATTGGCAGATCCACCAAAAGATCGACGGGTGAAGAGACCATTCCATTGGGGACATTGTGTCAGGTGGGGACAGGGAGTCGGCTATCACATTGAGACACCGAGAAAGTAGAGTGCAGTAACTGGATGTTGAGGGAGTCGATCAACTGCAAGAAGTTGATAACGAGCGACAGGAGCGACATTGGCTTGGTTGATCCCATCTTGCTGATGTAGCAAATTACCATGAATCATGAGGTGAGAGGAACAGAGGAACTCCGAACACAGTATCACAGCCTTGAACTCGAGGTTGTCCTTATGAAGGCAATGCTTGTCGGCTCACCAAAGCCCTGCCAGTTGTAGATCTTGAAAATGCGGTCCCCAGCTTTCAACATTCGGCTCTATTAGCCACAACTTGAGGTGCGGACGCCAATGGATTGATAGGGAGAATGGTGTCTAGTAATCTCTGCTCTGGATGAAGGGTGTGAGGAAACACTGGATCGGCCGAGGTGAAGTTGGGCTCGCAAAGTGAAGGCATGCGCCGACGTCAACAAGCGATTTGGTTGCCCAGATGGACGTCGAAAAGAGCAGCGATAAACTGAAGCCATTGAGTGGGAGTCGTTTCAGACTTGCTAATGTTGATGGCAACCGAGATGGCGTAGAACACGTTGCGTGAACTCGAAATTTTGCAGAAGAACGTTGGAGTCTGCGTTGGCTTGAATGCAGTCATCGATGTATGATTCGAACAAGATTCAGCGAAGATGTATGCATTTTGTAATGGGCTTGGTGAGGCGGGAATAAAGCCACGTGACCAAAGAAGTTCCAAACATTTGCACCTTCCATTGGTAGTGCCATCTTCCCGAGGCAAGAGAGTTAAATGACTTTAAAAGTACAGTTTCCACCCTTGCCGAACAAGGCTGGAATGACTGGGCTCGATTGTAGCGCCACCAGTGGCTATTACCAGTTATGACCCTTCTACGCCTCTCCTATGGACCAATCAGATTCCAACTCCCGTGTCACTTGCGTTTGCTTCACACAAAATGGTGGCGCCCAGTCAGGACGATTTGATCGATAATCAAGATCTATAGTGTAAGAAAACGGGTCTTACATCGCGAAATGCATCAAATCACGTGAGCACTTTGATTATAAACACGTAAAGATTTGGAATACTATCTGTTGACAACGAGTTAGCGGTGCACATGCTTTGCAAATACTGCAGTCGATCGAAATATGTACGACAGTTTACGAACAGGGATTTCGATTCCTGGTGCGCGATTTCGATTTGACTATGCATAGTCCAGCCAAAATGTAACTCCATAATACCAGCCTAGTTCGGCAAGGGTGGAAACTGGACTTTTATAGTCAGTTAACTCCTTTGCCTTCGGAAGATGTGGTAGTGGTGGCCTTGGAAAACAAACCAAAGGAAGTGGCAGTGCTACAGTTGGCCTGAAGTAGAGATAAATCACTTGTTGCCTGACTCGCCACCTCAGGCAAAATCCTTGTGGCTAGGGTCCTTTCTTACGTTTGACTTGATTGGTCTGCCTGTGACTGGGGTCCTTCTGATGTCTGACCTGCTCGGTCTGCCTGTGACTGGGGTCCTTCTGAAGACTGACCTGCTTAGTCTGCCTGTGACAGGGATCGATCTGATGTCTGACTAGTTTGGTCTGCCTTTGGCGAGAGTCCTTTCTTAAGTTTGACTCGCTTGGTCTGCCTGTGGGTGGTATCTATCTGATGTCTGACCTGCTTGGTCTACCTGTGACTTGGATCCATCTGACGTCTTATCTGCTCGATCTACCTGTGACTGGGATCTATCTGATGACTGATCTGTTTGGTCTGGCTTTGAGTGGTATCTGTCTGATGTCTGACCTGCTTTGTCTGCCCATTCACAGGTTACTGGGGACCTAGATTCTTACCTGGAATCCCCACAAGTTAAGTCCCTTGGACACAGAAACTGGATATCAGTGTAGAC